GTTCGAGTCCCACCGAGGCCACAAATTTTTCAAAATTGGTTCGATTCAATTATTCAAATCCCGCCTAATATTGTATATTTAACGAAGACCCGCCTTTTGTCAAGTCTTTGGTTTTGTATCCGACACTGACTTAGGCCAATGTTGGTAGGCAAGGCCGAGGTTCCAACTGACGATTCTTCCATCCGGTCCTTCTCTTTTCCTGCAAGAAGGCCCAGAACCTAAGCAAAATTTCGTCAACATTGTGAAAGTGGTTCGTACTGTCATGAGCCGTTGCTAGCAAGGTAATAAGTATTTGCAAGTAGCGAGCAACTGAACCAACCCTGGAGTGCATGCAATGAGAAGGATCACGTAATTCGTCGAGGTCGCATTTTTAGATGAATACAAGTAGGACTTGACCACTTAAAGCGTGCAGGAAGTTTCCACTTCACCGTGGTTATGTAGAACATCCTTTAGGAGGTGGAGTAAGTCGGTCCTAAACCCATCGCCGGGCCGCATTGCTAGGCAGGTAGTAGGAAGCTTTGTTGCATGGGCAGCGATATGTTATCAATCAACAGGGGACGAGATGTCTGTGTAGCCTAGGCCAATTTTCCTTAAGTTCGATACCGACGCGACACCAACTTGGTGGTGAAGAATATGCAGTCAATCTAGTGCACCCAAGCATGACGATTCAACAATTTTGTGTTTTCAGTTGGAAAAACGGTACAAATTACTCATTTACAGTGCGAGATGGTCAGATGGCGTAGCAACACTAAGCCTGTTTAACCGGTTTAATGGAAACTTTAATGTCGGTTGATCCAAAAGATTGAACCATTCTGCCTCGCAAGAACAGATAGGGTTCTGTGGAAAGGTACACAGAGAGAAATTAACAATGAAATCGAATGGATAGTAAATCAGACTATGCCTTAGAGGGGGAAGTAATCGGATTAAGATAAGTATACTACAAGTAAATACAAACACTAGGACTAGTTGCTTGGTATCTGGCGTCCCAGGTCATCTCAACTTACTTACAGAGGTCAGTCATGGTATCTACTTGAAGTATGTGTGACAGTAGAAGAGGAGAACACAAACAGTCAGGATGAATGGGCTATTAAAAATAAATGAGGGATGGAAAGGATAAGACGGAGAACCCGAATTCATTTGATCCATTTGGGAAAAAATTCGGCGGCGTCGATGGCAATCGAGTCCACGACAGCAAGCGGAAAGGCTTGGGACAGCCAACGCTCTAACCACCTTAACTACGAGGCACCGCCGGCAGCCGTGAGTTTAATCACCCTTGGGTACAGTTACCCTTGCTGTCGGGGATTCACATTCCACCGAAGTCGCCGAGTACTTCACAACTAAGTCAAGTCGGCCAAAATCCTCATGGTAATAGTAAGAATTGGGTGCAAACATAGAGGAAAGAAGTTTTGCCCACCTGAGGCGGCTCGTAGATGGCTGATACGACGGCCTTAATTGAAAGCGGAGGAGCACCTGGTGTATCAAAGGGTATGTAGCGACCCAGAAGTACGCCGATTCGCTGGTTACCCGTCGAGCGCCAATAATCCAGGAATGTCTCCATTATCTGGCCGTTCTCAAATTGCACGTAATCCACGTGACGGTAGGCTTGTACTTCGAGTGTGATGGGTTTTGGCTGACACTTGGTGCAAATGCCTTCTGGCCAGGCCGGGTGGTCTGGACAGCCGGGTTTTATGGTACAGACGACGTTTTCCAAGCGAACGAATTTGCCTCTAAAAGTGCCAGAGTACATAAGTTTCAAAGCGAAAAGTGTCCCAAGTGTTTCCTACAGAGAATAAAGATAAATGTGGAAAATTGGCAATTCCGATGACATTATGCAATATTCGTACGGCATTGGTTGCTTTCGAAAGTGGCAGGACAATGTAGGAGTCGGTTATCAAGGGCTTCTTTGCCGAATACCTGAAAACTTAGAGAGTGAGTGCCCTATGTGGACTAACCGAGAGCCGAGTGTATGTTGTGAAATAGTGGGCAATTATCTTCGGCGAAGGACAAATGCTCAAATATCAACATAAAGGGAAAGGGTTATGTGACTGTAGGATGTATGACGAAAGGACATAAACCCAGCTTAATTGACAGGGGATAAAACACTAGCCTTTGGCTGATCATCGTTACAGTTAACCTGATCCTCGGTCGTGAGAAGGATCGAGTTATCCCATCAGATTTAAATCTTCCAAACCATGACTGATGGCGCTCATGACTAGTTGTTTTAATGAGGAAGTATATCTTGAATTGATCGTGATCTCTTCTATTGCACATACACAATAGCTTGTTCGAATTAATCCGACCGGAAAGGATATTGAACCTAATGGTTGACGCGACGTGACGTCTTTTTTCGAGGGGTATTGCAAGCGGGTTCGGATTTCAAATAAGTTAGAAATGCTACAAAGGCCACACCATGAAACACCAGAGAACCTAATTCAATCGTCAACTGGCAGCTTCCCGAGTGGTGTGCGAGATTTATTTTAGTGAATGTGCTATATGCTAGTTTGGTACTACAGTAGTCGCCGGTTATTAAGCCCACCTCGGGTCCAGACCAAATTGGGCTTGATGAGCGGT